ATACATACACGTACACATACACACACAGACACAGACACAGACACAGACACAGACACAGACACAGACACAGACACAGACACAGACACAGACACAGACACAGACACAGACACAGACACAGACACAAACACACACACACACACACACACACACACACACACACGCACACACACACACACACACACACACGCCGTGTCTGGGGCTTAAGGGGCTCGTTTTATTTTGTAGAGACCTCTGACTTCTCAAGCAACCACATTGCGTTCCCTCAAATGGTACTGACTGGAAGGTCTAGAATGCGGAGCGTATGACCATTCTTCGTAAAGCCGTCGCGCGTCAGTGTTTACGGCTTGGCTGGCAGCAGCGCTCCAGCAGCCCTAACCCCGCCTGTTCGAGTTTGACAAATCGAAGCCCCTCATTATCGTCAGGGTGATACGCCGAATGTTTTAACCCTAAATCCTAAACCTTGTAACCCTTCAGTTCAAAACTTGAAGCCTGAACCCTAACCTCAAAACCCATCAACCCCAATCCCTGAGTTACCCAAACATCGACCAGATGGCTCTGTTGTTACGTGGGGCTGTGCTGGGCGCGGTGGCGACAGCGCAGCAGTGCAGATGCAGCTGAGAGGGGTGCACTCGCCTGGATGTGGGATTCAAGATTTCGGGGTAGTGTGTAAACTGTCACGATTGGGGGAGTGTAGCAACCTATTTTGCTTCTAGCTCAGGTCCAGGGTTTGGGGGTTTGCACGAGCCGAAGTACTTCGGACCTGGTCGTCGTGGTTGGTGCTGAGCGGGGCTACGGCTACAGTGGCATTTGCAGTTTTCTCCGATACCGTTGCTCCTGAGCTTGCTGGAACTTCATTGGCCGGATTCTATACGGGCCTAAATAACTACCTACGCTATTTTTTTTGGGGACTCCTTATTATAAGTCATAGTATAATATCCCCCAAAACCCTATTCGAATTGTTCAGGCCCCTATATTGAGGTTTGGGTCTTAGGACTTTGGAGGCTTCTCCAGTCTGAGGCTCTAAGGACTCTAGGAGGGACCCCTAATAGTCTCCATATTAACCCCAATAACCTACAAGGGTCCCTATTAAGGGTCCCTCCTAAACCTTAAACCCTAAAAGCCCTAAACCCCTAAACCCCTAAACCCCCCAAACCCCTTTAGAATTAAAGGAAGCCATCCCTATAATACCCTTTAAAGGGTCCCTCCTAAAGCCCTTAGAGAGGCTGCTGTGTTGGATTCCCAGACCCGCCTGGACCCCTGTAGAGGCAACAGGACCTAAGGTAGGGGCCTTAATTATTTTAATAGGGTTTTGGGGGCCCATTATACTATAGGTAACAGGACCTAAGGCAGGGGCCTTAATTATTTTAACAGGGTTTTGGGGCCCTTATACTATAACTAAATGTAGGGGCCTTAATTATTTTAACAGGGTTTTTGGGGGCCCCTTATACTATAATTGTAATAAGGAGCTCCCCAAAATAGTCCAGGTTTTAATAATTAAAGTAGGGTTTTGGTTCCCATTATACTATAATTGTAATGAGGAACCCCCCAAAATAGTCTAGGTAATCACTTGACCCTAAACCCTAAACCCTAAAGCCCTAAACCCTAAACCCTAAAACCCTAGACCCTAAACCGTAAACCCTAAACTCTAAAACCCTAGAGCCCTAAACCCTAAACCCTAAATCCTAAAACCCTAGAGCCCTAAACCCTAAACCCTAAACCCTAAAACCCTAGTGCCCTAAACCCTAAACCCTAAACCCAGGCCCCCTATGTTGCACCTTCGGACTCCTCCGACCAGAGGTCCGGCAGATTTGCGCCGCGGGCGCGGCTTTCGCTGCGATTCTTGCAGATCGGCAGGAGCAATGGATCCCCTTTTCTATGTTGGTGTAGGGCGATTCGCGTGATGCTTCCTTTTGAATATATGTCTTGCGTCGTGCGGTTATACCCTCTGCGTCAAGAAACAGAGAAGTTGGCCTGTCCGGACCTTGACAAGAAGTGTGCACTGTTGGTAGATTCACTGTGGTGGTAGTGTTACATGCTTCCTTGATTCCTACAGGGCTGGGTATTTTCAGGGTTTTGTAACTAAGGGTATCCCGAGGTTTCAGCTAGCAGCTAGAAGTTCGCATCGACGAAGCGCAGTTGAATCATGCGGAACCCCACAAGACGGCGGCCCATCAACGTCACATGAACCCCGAACCCTTGACCCCCAGACCCTACCTCCCGCACCAACATGACTTTGTTGCAAATATTTGTCTGTGTCTGTGTTCAATGTAATGTAAAGCAATGTAACTTACCGTATCGTGTTGTATGGTCTTGTATTGTACTGCAATGCACCGATTATCGTACTGGATTGCCTTGCAGGGCAGTGTCTTGCCTTGTCTCGTTTTGTCTTGCATTATCTTGAATCTATTATTGCATCTGTATTGAATTTGTTGTTTTATACCGCCGTGTATCCTGTTGTGAATTGTGTAGTGTTGTGTATTGCACACTTGTTGCATTGTCTGTGGCGTTGCTCTTTGCCTTATATTTTGTACTGTGGGCCGTCTTTTATTTATTACAGCAAAGTCTATTCTATTGTCTATTGTGCTGTCTGCTGTCATCATCTATTGTATTGTCTATCGTACCGTATAATTATGCTCCGTACAATATGAGGTCCAGCATACTGTCTAAGGTATTATGGTGTAGCAAGCACTTTTCCTTTGTCTCCTATGTTGTACTGTAGATTGCACCGTGCATTGTATTGTTTGTTCTGCTCGGATGGTATATCGTCTGGTCTTTTCTTGTCTTGTCTCGGTCTTTTCTGGAACTGTAGTCTATTCCGCTGTGTTTTACTGTCTATGTCTTGGTCTCGGTATCAGTGGCAACAACAATTGCAAGCTATTCGCCCAAAGGTCGATGGCTCGGTCGTCACTTGGGGTCACCCGGGCACCGGCGGCGACAGCGCGCACGTTCAGGCAGAGCTGGCACGCTTGGTTGCGGACTTTTTGTGGTTTGAGGTCTTGGACTTGGATCACATGCGGGATTTCGAGGGCTTGGGGGAAGCTTACAAGGTGAGCATGAGGCTGGCATTAACCTCCAGCCTCCGGGCACCTAGACCACAAAACTCCTTTCCACCCGCCTCGTTCTGCTCCGAATGCCTGTGCTGACACCCGGAGAACCCAAAACCTAAATCCAAGCCGAGACCCCTCGTCCTTGACATGTAATGTGAGCCTTTGCCCGAACTCGGAAACGGCAGCTAAGCTCGCAGGCAAAGCTTAAGGACGTGCAGCTGATTGAGGCTCGAGCTCCTTTGGCCTCGGGTGTTGCCTGCAGAATTTCGCCGTTGGCTTTTGACGGACTTTCCAGTGTAGGACGGGTCAGCACTTTTCAGTTTGCAGTTTCCCGCCTCACTTAGGCGCTTACACAAGTCTGGATGTCTCTAAACCCTAAACCCTATAACCCCAAACGCCTTGGCCTGAACCCAAGGTCGCCTTAAACCAAAACCCCCACGCCTTGAGCCACGTTTAGGGTTTGCGTTGACGGTTGAGGTGTTTAGGGTTGAGGGTTTAGCGGTTCAGGGTTGAGGGTTTAGGGTTTAGGGGTTTAGGGTTTAGGAGTTTAGGGTTTAGGAGTTTAGGGTTTAGGGGTTTAGAGTTTAGGGGTTAGAATTCAAGGTTTAGGGTGCTGTGTGGAGGCCAAAGGTTGCTGCCGCGATTTGCAAAGCCGGGCTTCGTCGGGCATTGCTTTCTGGTGTGGTTGATACACCCTGATTTACTACTTGAACCCTAGAATCTAAACCCCAATCCCCATCTCTAAACCCTAATCCTTAAACCCTCAAATCCAAACCCTAATCCCGATCTTATAAACCCTAATCTTTCATACCTTCAAATCTAAACGCTAACCCCGATCTTATAAACCCCAATCCTTCAACCCTAAACCTAGATCTCTGGCAGTCCGAAGTCCTGGGCTGAACCTCTCAGGGAACCTTTCACTGTGGTGCACGGATCGTCGTATGTTAGTCCACATGCTTGACGGATTTGTGCAGTTGGCCTGCAGCTCACGATGAATACTGAATACTAACCCTCAACCACTACTCACAGGTTGTAAGGATTCAGTGTTTTGGGTGTCAGGCTGGGGTGCCGCATCCCTTGGATTCGGAGATTTCACGCCGTTCATGCCCAAGGACTTCGGTTTTGCGAGGTTTCTGCGCGGGGCCGCTCAATCTAAACGCAAAGGGTGGAGTTCAGGCTGCCGGTGTGTTCATGTACCGTGTAGGGTGTTGTACTCAGGTTGCAACAATCCTGACAACCACTCGCTCCCCTTCCCAAGTACTTTACTCAAACTTCGCTACACCCTCGAATGTGCCCATAGGCTCCATTACGTTTATATCTAGAATCCTATAAGGTGCTCCGAAAAATGAACTGCAATGGAGCCTATGGGTATTCTGAACACCGGCACGTTCTAAGCCCTTTTCACAACCTGTCTTGAAAGAGGCCCCAAGAGCCGAACACGAGGGTTTAGGGTTTAGGGTTTAGGGTTGCAACTGGAAAGGCATCTCACAAGGCTTTTGCCGCCCTTCTCCGAGACGGCTCGGTTACTTGGCTCCTGAATCTCAGGATGTGTTAGCACGGCTCCGCTTGACGGCTCGAAGGCGTGTTAAGCGTTTTTGTTGGGTTGAGGATTTCGGGGTTGAGGGGTTTAGGGCTTAGGGTTTTGCAAAGAAGTTTAGGGCTTTGGATTTTGGCTTAGAGGTTAAAGGCGCAGGTTGTTTGGTTTTGCTACAGAGCTGCTGCAAGGGCTTTGGGGTTAGGAACAATCTACTTAGAACTGAAAGTTGGCCTGACCTATTCGATCCTCCCCTGGGTTCAGATTTTGGTAGGAACCCTTGTAATCCTTCGCTACTTTCCCTTTTTGACATGCTGTGCCTGGAAAGCCTGCTGAGCATCTTTTTAGTCCCGGTATCGGGCCTGAGAGCTGTGCTTAAAGAGCAATGTGGGAGTTTCCGAAAATTAGGGATACCTTATTTTGGGGTTCTTTTAATAAGGATCCTACTATTTAGGGTACTATATTAGGGTCCCCTATTTTCGGAAACCCCCATGTATCTTCTGTGAGAGCCCCAAGCCCGAACCCCTTGCAAGCTGCACTCTGATGCCCCAGCCCGAAACCGCGAGCCGAAAGCTCAGACCCTTAAACCCTAAGCCCAAGAAAACCTGAGACCCTAAACCCCGAGTCTGAGAAACGGCAGTGTAGCATCTGCAGAAGCTTAGGGATCAGAAAGCTACTGACATAGGTGATCACGTGGGGTCGTGAAGACTCCGGTGGGGATTGCAGCGGCGTCGCTGGTGAACTACGAAGCGTGCAACAGACACTGGGGCTATCAACCTTCTTTTGTGTCCATGGCTCGAATTCCCGTCAAAATGTCGAGGTACATTTCAAGGTTTCGAAATCACCATATGGGTGGTTGTCAAAATTAGGGTCCCTTTTTGGGTCCTTACTATAATACGGCACCTATTATTTAGGGTACCCCAAAAGGGACCATAATTTTGACAGCTACCCATATGTGTAGGATTCTGCTTATATCTCCGGTCCTAGGTCCTCACCTTTAAACCGAAGATGTTTCACCGACAATACAGGTGATTTTCTCCTTCGACAGAAGGCTTTTCCAAACTACCATCGTATGCATAGGAGCCCTCGTTTGAAAGGGTCTACAGCGTCTAATCTTGTCATATTGCATTATATAGTATGTCATATCCGGGTATGCTTTAAGTTGGATTAGAACTTTAGAACGTACTCCTTGCTACGTTTGAACACATTTTGCCAGATGTGTTGAAGTTTACAACGATGCGGGGCAATCTGAAGGACGAAGATTAATGCAAAGACGGTGAGTAATATAGGCGCCCTAATAATTAGAATAGCGTTTTGGTGGTTCCTTACTATGGTTATAGTATAACATACCCCCAAACCCATTAGGGCCTGTATGTTACAGGGATCCTTGTGTACAAAGACCCACATACTGGCGAACCAGAAATCGAACGCCATAAAGGCCATGGAGCGGAGCACACAAGGTTTAGGGAATTATGAGGCTTCATGGTTATAGGTGTTTTCGAAACATGCGCAGCTTTATGACTTTAGCTTAGGGCTAGGGCTTGTGGCTTTCAACTGTTTTGTTGAATGGGGGGGGTTAACCTTCGCTTTAGAATCTTTTGTTTTAGGGTTTCGTGCTCATCTACTACATGAGACATCCGTCACAAAACGGGAATGAGGATTCTACCGCTCTCTTGGCCCAGCTTAGGATTTGTGCAACTGCCAAAGCTTTCGCAGCTTTGCGCTCCGACGGATCTGTTGCGACGTGGCCTTGCGGCAGAGATCCTGAACTATTCTCGGTTTTAGCAGACGGAGCTTTCATGCTCCTAATGGGCACGCGTTGCAAGCTGCTCGGCGTTTGTTGGCACTTTAACTTAAAACTGCTGTGAGCTTCGGGATGAGTTGTCGATGGCACAGTCAAGGATTTTGCGCTACGTTTGCAGGTTTCTGGTTGCAGTGCTGTTGGCTACAGTTTTGGTGTTGGGGTTTTGATGCCGCTCAGCATGTTTGATGGCGGCAGACTTTAAGAAGAGGTACAACGGCCCAAGCGAGAGCAAGAGAGAGAGAGGAAAGGAAAGATAGAGAGAGAGAGAGAGAGACGCATTCCGCATATTTGTGTGTAGATCGGGTATATTTACATAATGTAAGCACACATGCAAACACACGGTACTAGAGCAAGTTGTTGAAAGGAACATGTGGGGCTTTGCATGTAGCTCAGATTTCAATCTTCATGCTTCCTGTAATTGAGCAGTCATAGCTCCGAACTATCAAAGGAAGCGGTATCCATCAGCCGCACTCTTGCCAATGGCACTAGCAGCTCAAGCCATGAATCCTACGCCCTAGACCCTTCATAACTTATAAGCCCTAATTCCTGAACCCTTCCTGGTTAAGCACAGGTGGGGTGATGCACGCTATGGGGGTGACAGCAGTGCCGTCCAATGTCATCTGCGGCCTGGCAACAGAAAGGTTTTGTGTAGTTGGCTTCTCGGTCAAAAACTTTAAGTCATCATTTCAGGTGTGGTCCAGTACCTGTCCACTTGCTTACATCATGCACATACAAGTGCCGCTTCTACCGTGCATACCATACATACCGCGCACGCTCTCAATCCTTTAGCATGCCATGCTGTACCAGGCACGCTGGCAATCCCATACCAGGCATACCATGTCGTGCCATGCTATGCTACACCATTCCATAGCATACTATACCATTCCATGCCGATATATACATACATGCATACATGCATGTATGCATATACGTACATACATACTTATATATATACACACATCCAGATTTCATATACATATACATGTAGGTGTACGTATACATCTACATGTACATACTTACACACTTACACATACATAAGTGTATATATATATATATACATATACTTATGTAGGTATCGCACAGGCAAAAGCGGTTCCTGCCTTGGTGGTGGGTTGAAACGGGCATGTCGCTGGATAGGAATTGAGCACCTCCCGGACTGCAGTATCGGAAAGTCCCCGAAAAAACTCTCAGGAACTTCATGCTCGAATCCTGAACATCAAACGAACCCTCGAACTCGAATTGCAGTTGCTCTCTGGAGAGGCTCCTGTTCCGGGTTTTTCGGGGTGCCGGGATTTTGTGTGCTCTGCCTTGATCAGGCTTAGAGGCGCCTGTTGCAACCTGTCGCCCACCACGTTTACAAGCCCACAAGCCGAGTCGTTCAAAGTTCGTATACTACATTTACATTGGAATTTTCACCTCAGCACACCATACACCATGCTAGTTGCTCGAGTTGGCACATGCTTTCTGCTCCTGCATGGGAATTCCCCAACCCGTAACCGGAACTGCAGGGTGGACATCCAGCAACTTTGTGCCGCGACGGACCTCTACGGCGGAGCGTTCGCAGCGCTGTGTGCGAAAGGATCAGTCATTGCCTGGGGTCTCTCTGCAAAAATATTTCGAATATTGGCCTTGGCAAGCAGGGCTCAGTTTTCGTAACTTCTACACGTGGTACTTGTGGAAGACTCCAGAGGTACCTAGTTCAAAAGCATGTTCACATGGGCGCATGTTTTGAGACTGCGGAATTTAAGTCAACCTACTGAGGCTAGAAGACAGAATCGGTTTAGCTTTTCGGGTTTTGAGGTGTTGCCTACTCCAATGTGGGTAGAAGACGGAGGACGAGTATACAGGTAGGTCTGCAAATGTGTCTTTGCTAGAAGAGACTCTTGCCCCTTTCGAGCCGTTGTTGCAGCCCGGTCGCCACAAGCCCCACAATCACAGAGGTTTGAGCACCACGAAGCCCAGCCACGAAAGAGAAACGTCACAAGCATCAATCTTGGTGTTTGCGGTGCTGCTGCAAGGATGGAATCCTTGAGTCTGATAAGAATACAGATCATGTCAGCTGTTTCAGAGATCACCTAATGGCAATGATACTGTAGCAACCATGACCATGAAGATCTGTGCAGCGCGAAACATGTCGTCAAATCCAGAAGAATGGCAGCACTTTGCTGCTGCTGCTGCTGCTGCTGCTGCTGCTGATGCTGCTGCTGCTGCTTGACTTTGTTGTTGTTTGATCGAATGTTGTGAATGTTGAAGATGGTGTTGGCACAGTTTAGGTTTGACTTGTCCCAGTCTAAGGAAATGCGGATTATGGTGCTGGCGGCGGAATTCTGCGTTATGGCAACGGGCAAAATCCAGCGAATGCCAATGCCTGGGTTAAGCTCACCATCCCAGAATCCCAAGTGTCCTAGAAGGCTGTGTATGTTGTGCCCGTGAACTACGTGGTCTTTAGAGCGAGCAGCATCGTCATGTTTAACTCTCGGCCTTGTACCCCAGCACTTTGTCGCAAAGAGTACCCTCATACCAGAAGAATCGCAACTAACGCTTTCCAGACACTAAAGTCTTGGTTTACTCGGATTTGAGTTTATTCGCCACGAGTCTTATGGCATAGATCATATAGATTCTGTGCTGGAGTTTCGGAACTTGTCTGGAAAATTGCCTCGCTCGTAAGCTAGCTCCTCCATGCTGGAACGTGGCCACGCATATTCATAGATATCTCCCTGCAGGTATCCGTCTCGAATATACAGGCTTAAACATGTGCAGGTATTATTCCTTCTTGTTGTAGTTCAGTTTACCACCCGAAACCTTGTTATTATTATTTCAGGCCCCTAATATTGAACCCGAAGGCTTCGGATGTCACCTAAGCCCTAAACCCTAAACCCTGCCCACCAGTCCCAGCTAGGCAGAGCTTTAGCCGATACCCAGCTCAAGCCATCGCTGGAGACCCTGCGAAAGCCTCTGACCCCAGAGGCTACATCTTGAGGCCCTATATACTTGGTTCTCCAATAGCCAACCTTTAAACTCTCTTGAGTTCTTATCATTTAGTAGTAATCCGAAAGTTTAATCTTTAATTTCCCTGGCTTTTTGGGGAAGTAAGTATAGGGCCTAGATTGACGGTGCTTCTTGTGGGAACAATATGAAGAGCAACTTTTCAACACAATGATGACAGCGATTACTGTTACTAGATGCCAGAGTCATGATCCAGCATTGATGTGTTCAACAATTATAGTAGCAGTAGCTTTTCGCGAAGCCCCCGATGCAGGCATGCGACGAGTTCGACGGGCCTTATCGCGAGGCACTTGCTGCCTCTATTCTGTTATCTACAAACCCCCAAACTCGTGAAGCCCTTTATGGAAACCCTTCAAGGCGACCGTGTAACAGGGACCCTCATGGTAGCATTTTCAGTGGGGATGTTCGACACTGTTGAGTAAAGGCTGTCTCATAGCCCTTGTTTGAGTGTTACTTCGCCCGACGAAGCTTCGAGCCTGATGCTTCTTTTGCAATCGGGCCTTTTGGGGTTCGGAAGTCCCGACTTAGGATTCTGCTTTTTTCTGGGCTTAGATTGGGATCCTCTGCGTTTCGAAACCCCCACAAGCCTCGTTTGAAGTTCAACGCGTCCCTAAACCCGCAGCCCAACAGAAACGGCTTCTGGTCTTCGGCTCTGAGCACGGTTTCCCCAATATTAGTTTCCTTAAGAGTCCACGTGCACTTTGGGGGCCCGAAACAAAAGAAGTCTAACCTCAAGAAGCAGGTCAGCGTGGAGGAGGAAGAAAGCCCAGAGTCTGATAGAGTCGCCTCAACAATGATTAATATAGGGGCCTTTAGGGTTTAGGGTTTAGGGTTTAGGGTTTAGGGTTTTATAATTACCTATAATATTTAGAACAGTTCCTGCAGGACCTGGTTTGCGTCTCCGGCCCACAGCTTTGTGTGATAGCTGAATAGCGAAGATCGATGGTGAAACGTTGGCCTCTACCCTAAACCCCAAAATCAGCCCAAACGCCTCAACCCTGGAAACCTCAAAGACTTAAGTGCCTAAAGCCCACACCTCTAAACCGTAACATCCAAACCCATTGAACAGTAGGCCCCGCGCCCAA